CAGGAGGTGAGAGCGGTGAGCCCGCACGCGGCCTGACCATTATCTCATTATTGACCACTTCCATCCGCGCCTCGTCCCCGCACTGGGCGCTTGTCTCAGTCACGTGGTGCTGGTGAGCCCCACTAGCTCTAACCCCTAGTAGCCAACATGAGTAACAAACACAAACGTAGCCCGAGAGCTTCTTTGAAAAGGGGAGAAAGACACAATGATGACCACCCCCCCCACCCCGGTAACGTGAGAAAGTAAGTTGTCTAGATGGTTCCCGTACATGCCCACGAGCTGCGCCCGCTACCTTTGGCCTAGATGGAACCCTTCCTTCTGATTGGACATCAGTTACCCAGCAGAGATGGAGCTCTCTCATTACACGCTTAAGGCTCTCGTGATTAACACTGAAGCCTGTGGGAGCCTTAGTCTGGCTCTGTGAGTCTCGGTGATTAGCACTGAACCCTGTGGGAGCCTTAGTCTGGCTCTGTGAGTCTCGGTGATTAGCACTGAACCCTGTGGGAGCCTTAGTCTGGCTCTGTGAGTCTCGGTGATTAACACTGAACCCTGTGGGAGCCTTAGTCTGGCTCTGTGAGTCTCGGTGATTAACACTGAACCCTGTGGGAGCCTTAGTCTGGCTCTGTGAGTCTCGGTGATTAGCACTGAACCCTGTGGGAGCCTTAGTATGGCTCTGTGAGTCTCGGTGATTAACACTGAACCCTGTGGGACCCTTAGTCTGGCTCTGTGAGTCTCGGTGATTAACACTGAACCCTGTGGGAGCCTTAGTCTGGCTATGTGAGCATCAGTAATTAAGACTGAACACTGGGGAGCCTCAGTCTGGCTCTGTGAGTATCGGTGATTAACACTGAACCCTGTGGGAGCCTTGGTCTGGCTCTGTGAGTCTCAGTGATTAACACTGAACCCTGTGGGAGCCTTAGTCTGGCTCTGTGAGTCTCAGTGATTGACACTGAACCCTGTGGGAGCCTTAGTCTGGCTTTGCGAGTCTCGGTGATTGAGACTGAACCCTGTGGGAGCCTTAGTCTGCTCTGTGAGCTTCAGTGATTAACACTGAACCCTGTGGGAGCCTTAGTCTGGCTCTGTGAGTCTCAGTGATTAACACTGAACCTTGTGGGAGCCTTAGTCTGGCTCTGTGAGTCTCGGTGATTGACACTGAACCCTGTGGGAGCCTTAGTCTGGCTCTGCGAGTCTCAGTGATTGAGACTGAACCCTGTGGGAGCCTTAGTCTGGCTCTGTGAGCTTCAGTGATTAACACTGAACCCTGTGGGAGCCTTAGTCTGGCTCTGTGAGTCTCAGTGATTAACACTGAACCTTGTGGGAGCCTTAGTCTGGATCTGTGAGTCTCAGTGATTAACACTGAACTCTGAGGGAGCCTTAGTCTGGCTCTGTGAGTCTCGGTGATTTACACTGAACCCTGTGGGAGCCTTAGTCTGGCTCTGTGAGTCTCGGTGATTGACACTGAACCCTGTGGGAGCCTTAGTCTGGCTCTGTGAGTCTCAGTGATGGAGCCTGAACCCTGTGGGAGCCTTAGTCTGGCTCTGTGAGCTTCAGTGATTAACACTGAACCCTGTGGGAGCCTTAGTCTGGCTCTGTGAGTCTCGGTGATTAACACTGAACCCTGTGGGAGCCTTAGTCTGGCTCTGTGAGTCTCACTGATTAACACTGAACCTTGTGAGAGCCTTAGTCGGGCTCTGTGAGTCTCAGTGATTAACACTGAACCTTGTGGGAGCCTTAGTCTGGCTCTGTGAGTCTCGGTGATTAACACTGAACCCTGTGGGAGCCTTAGTCTGGCTATGTGAGTCTCGGTAACTAACACTGAACCCTGTGGGAGCCTCAGTCTGGCTCTGTGAGTCTCGGTGATTAACACTGAACCCTGTGGGAGCCTTAGTCTGGGTCTGTGAGCCTCAGTGATTAACACTGAACCCTGTGGGAGCCTTAGTATGGGTCTGTGAGCCTCAGTGATTAACACTGAACCTTGTGGGAGCGTTAGACTGGCTCTGTGAGTCTCAATGATTAACACTGAACCCTGTGGGAGCCTTAGTCTGGCTCTGTGAGTCTCACTGATTAACACTGAACCTTGTGAGAGCCTTAGTCTGGCTCTGTGAGTCTCAGTGATTAACACTGAACCTTGTGGGAGCCTTAGTCTGGCTCTGTGAGTCTCGGTGATTAACACTGAACCCTGTGGGAGCCTTAGTCTGGCTATGTGAGTCTCGGTAACTAACACTGAACCCTGTGGGAGCCTCAGTCTGGCTCTGTGAGTCTCGGTGATTAACACTGAACCCTGTGGGAGCCTTAGTCTGGGTCTGTGAGCCTCAGTGATTAACACTGAACCCTGTGGGAGCCTTAGTATGGGTCTGTGAGCCTCAGTGATTAACACTGAACCTTGTGGGAGCGTTAGACTGGCTCTGTGAGTCTCAGTGATTAACACTGAACCCCTTGGGAGCCTCAGTCTGGCTCTGTGAGTCTCAGTGATTAACACTGAACCCTGTGGGAGCCTTAGTCTGGCTCTGTGAGTCTCAGTGATTAACACTGAACCCTGTGGGAGCCTTAGTCTGGCTCTGTGAGTCTCAGTGATTAACACTGAACCCTGTGGGAGCGTTAGTCTGGCTCTGTGAGTCTCAGTGATTAACACTGAACCCTGTGGGAGCCTTAGTCTGGCTCTGTGAGTCTCAGTGATTAACACTGAACCCTGTGGGAGCCTTAGTCTGGCTCTGTGAGTCTCGGTGATTAACACTGAACCCTGTGGGAGCCTTAGTCTGGCTCTGTGCGTCTAGGTGATTAACACTGAACCCTGTGGGAGCCTTAGTCTGGCTCTGTGAGTCTCGGTGATTAACAATGAACCCTGTGGGAGCCTTAGTCTGGCTCTGTGAGTCTCGGTGATTAACACTGAACCTTGTGGGAGCCTTAGTCTGGCTCTGTGAGTCTCAGCGATTAACACTGAACCCTGTGGAGAGGAGAGAGAGGGTCGGGAGAGTGGGAGGAGTCTAGAGAGTGGGAGGAGTCTAGAGAGGAGAGAGAGTGGGAGGAGTCTAGAGAGTGGGAGGAGTCTAGAGAGTAGAGAGAGAGTAGGAGTCTAGAGAGTAGAGAGAGTGGGCGGAGTCTAGAGAGAGTAGGAGGAGTCTAGAGAGTGGGAGGAGTCTAGAGAGTAGAGAGAGTGAGAGGATTTTTTTTTTATATTTAAAGCTTTCGTGACTGCAGGGATTCATACTCCTGGTTCTTTCGGTAAAGTCACCGTGTAGAAGGGAAACAATAAAATAATAAAAATATAAAACAATAAAATTCTCACGACGTTTCGACTGCAACACAAGCAATCATCTCTCCTCTCTAGACTCCTCCCACTCTCTCTAGACTCCTCCCACTCTCTCTAGACTCCTCCCACTCTCTACGTGACTTTGCCGAAAAAAACAAGAATAAGAGTGGGAGGAGTCTAGAGAGTAGAGAGAGTGGGAGGAGTCTAGAGAGTAGGAGGAGTCTAGAGAGTAGAGTGGTGGGAGGAGTCTAGAGAGAGTGGGAGGGTCTAGAGAGTGGGAGGAGTCTAGAGAGAGTGGGAGGAGTCTAGAGAGTACAGAGAGTGGGAGTCTAGAGAGTGGGAGGAGTCTAGAGAGAGTGGGAGGAGTCTAGAGAGTTGAGAGAGTGGGAGGAGTCTAGAGAGTGGGATGAGTCGAGAGAGTGGGAGGAGTCTAGAGAGTGGGAGGAGTCTAGAGAGTAGAGAGAGTGGGAGGAGTCTAGAGAGTAGAGAGTGGGGGAGGAGTCTAGAGAGAGTGGGAGGAGTCTAGAGACAGTGGGAGGAGTCGGAGAGAGTGGGAGGTGTCTAGAGAGTAGAGAGAGAAGTGGGAGGAGTCTAGAGAGTGGGAGGAGTCTAGAGAGAGTGGGAGGTTTGCATATTTATGCAAACCGACACACCTGATGATGACCGTTTGAGTTATGGTCGAAACGTCGTGAGAATTTTTTTATTGTTTTATATATATTTTGTTATTTTGTTGTTTCTCTTCAACGTGACTTTACCGAAAAAACTAAGAATATGAATTACTGCAGTCACGAAAGCTTTAAATCAAAATTTAGAGTGGGAGGATTTAAATTTTTATTTAAAGCTTTCGTGACTGCAGTAATTCATGTTCTTAGCTCTTTCGGTAAAGTCACGTTGAAGGGAAACAATAAATAATAAACTATATATGAAACAATAAAAAAATTATATTCTTAGTTTTTTCGGTAAAGTCACGTTGAAGAGAAACAACAAAATAACAAAATATATATAAAACAATAAAAAATTCTCACGACATTTCGACCATAACACAAACGGTCGTCATCAGGTGTGTCGGTGTATGGTCGAAACGTCGTGATATTTTTTTTATTGTTTTATATATTTTTTTATTTTTTATTTAAAGCTTTCGTGACTGCAGTAATTCATATTCTTAGTTTTTTCGGTAAAGTCACGTTGAAGAGAAACAACAAAATAATAAAATATATATAACAATAAAAAAAATTCTCACGACGTTTCGACCATAACTCAAACGGTCGAAACGTCGTGAGAATTTTTTATTGTTTTATATATTTTATTATTTTGTTGTTTCTCTTCAACGTGACTTTACCGAAAAAACTTTGGATATATATATTTTTATTATTTTATTGTTTCCCTTCAACGTGACTTTACCGAAAGAGCTAAAATAAGAGTGGGAGGAGTCTAGAGAGAGTGGGAGGAGTCTAGAGAGAGTGGGAGGAGTCTAGAGAGGAGAGAGTGGGAGGAGTCTAGAGAGAGTGGGAGGAGTCTAGAGAGTAGGAGGAGTTTAGAGAGAATGGGAGGAGTTTAGAGAGAGTGGGCGGAGTCTAGAGAGAGTGGGAGGAGTCTAGAGAGAGTGGGCGGAGTCTAGAGAGGAGAGAGTGGGCGGAGTCTAGAGAGAGTGGGAGGAGTCTAGAGAGAGTGGGAGGAGTCTAGAGAGCGCGGGAAGAGTCTAGAGAGAGTGGGCGGAGTCTAGAGAGAGTGGGAGGAGTCTAGAGAGAGAGCTGCGTACAGTGAAGAAGGAAGAGCGAGAGTGAGGTGTTGGTGTTGTTGCCGTGAGTAGAGAGTGAGGTGTGGTGGTGGTGTTGGTGTTGCCGTGAGTAGAGAGTGGAGAGATGTCCGCAGGGAGCAGGGGGCGACACTCAGAGGGAGGAGCGGAGGGGACATCGGGAAGACAAAGGCGGTAGAGGAGGCGGGAAGACAAAGGCGGTCGAGGTGGCACGGCGAGGTACAGTAGGCGTACAGTGCGCGACGGACAAAGCTCACCCGGGTAGCCTCCAGCAGTGGGGGGTGGAGTGGGCGACTACCACGATCCCGGCCGCCTTTGTATCCCCCGTGCAACATACAGTAGGTACACACACACAAACACACAGACACACAGACACACACACAGACACACACACACAGACACACACAGACACACACACACAGACACACACACACAGACACACACACACAAACACACAGACACACACACACAGACAGATACACACACAGACACACAGACAGATACACACACACAGACACACACACACACAGACACACACACACAGACACACACACAAACACACACAGACACACACACAGACACACAGACAGACACACACACACAAACACACGCACAGACACACACACACAGACACACACACACAGACACACACACACAAACACACACACAGACAGACACACACACAGATACACAGACATACACACACACAGACACACACACAGACACACAGACACACACACAGACACACAGACACACACACAGACACACAGACACACACTACACACACACTAGACACACACACAGACACACACACACTACACACACTACACACACACAGACACACACAGACACACTACACAGACAGACACACACACAGACACACACACACAGACACACACACAGACACACTACACACACAGACACACTACACACACACAGACACACTACACACACACAGACACACACACAGACACACTACACACACACAGACACACACACAGACACACTACACACACAGACACACTACACACACAGACACACAGACACACTACACACACACAGACACACACACAGACACACTACACACACACAGACACACACACACAGACACACACACAGACACGTATACAGACAGACACACAGACACACACACACAGACACACACAGACAGACACACTACAGACACAGACACACTACACACACACAGACACACACACAGACAAACAGACACACTACACACAGACACACACACACAGACACACTACACACACACACAGACACACACAGACACACACACAGACACACACACACAAACACACACACAGACAGACACACAGACACACACAGACACACTACACACACACAGACACACACACAGACACACACAGACACCCTACACACACAGACACACACACACAAACACACACACAGACAGACACACAGACGCACACTACACACACACACAGACACACACACAGACAGACACACACAGACGCACACACAGACACACGTTCACACAACAACAACCGCCATTGGCCACTAAGTGGCAGTGACGTCACCACGACGCTTGTGCCAGGCTAGGTGCACGTTCAGGCCACGTGAAGTGTCGAACGCCCGCTGGCACGAGGTCACACACAGACACATACACACAGACACACAGACACGTATACACACAGACACACACGTATACACAGACACACACAGACACATATACACACAGACATACGTTTACACACAGACACACACAGACACACACACAGACATACAGACACACACACAGACATACAGACACACACATAGACACACATATAGACACACACAGAGACACACACACATACACACACAGACACGTATACACACAGACACGTATACACACAGACACGTATACACACTCAGATACAGATACATATACACACAGACACGTATACACACAGATACATATACACACAGACACACAGCCACGTATACACACAGGCACACACAGACACGTATACAGACAGACAACACAGACACACAGACACACACAGACATACAGACACACACAGACACACACACACAGACACACACACAGACACACACACAGACACACAGACACGTATACACACAGACACACATACACACAGACACACACGGACAAACAGATACATATACACACACGTATACACACAGACACGTATACACATTTACACAGCGTATTAGGTTAACGCGAGATCGTGTGTGTTAGGAATGTGTGTGAGTGTGTGTGTGGGTCTGTGTGTGTGTGGGTCTGTGTGTGTGTGGGAGTGTGAGTGTGTTAGGAATGTGTGTGAGTGTGTGTGTGAGTGTGTGTGTGTCTGTGTGTGTGGGAGTGTGAGTGTGTTAGGAATGTGTGTGTGAGGGAGTGTGTGTGTGTCTGTGCGTGTGTTAGTGTGTGTGAGTATGTGTGTCTGTGTGTGAGTGTGTGTTAGGAATGTGTGAGTGTGTGTGAGTGTGTGTCTGTGAGTGTGTGTGAGTGTATGTGTCTAAATGTGTGTTGGATTATGTGTGTGTGAGTGAGTGTCTGAGTGTGTGTGTGTGGGAGTGAGTGTCTGAGTGTGTGTGGCAGTGTGTGAGTGTTAGGAATGTGTGTGTGAATGAGTGTATGAGTGTGTGTGTGTATGAGTGTGTGTGTGTGAGTGTGTGTGTGAGAGTGAATGTCTGAGTGTGTGTGTGGGGGTGTGTGTGAGTGTTAGGAATGTGTGTGTGAGTGAGTGTCTGAGTGTATGTGTGTGAGTGAGTATCTGAGTGTGTGTGTGGGAGTGTGTGACTGTGTGTGAGTGTCTAAATGTGTGTTGGAGTGTGTGTGTGAGTGAGTGCCTGAGTGTGTGTGGGAGTGTGTGGGTGTGTGTGTGTGGGTGGGTGTGTGTGTGGGAGTGTGTGTGAGTGTGTGTGGGAGTGTCTGAGTGTGTGTGTGGCAGTGTGTGAGTGTTAGGAATGTGTGTGTGAGTGTGCGTATGAGTGTGTGTGAGTGTGTGTGGGAGTGTGTGTGTGAGAGTGAGTGTCTGAGTGTGTGTGTGGGGGTGTGGGGGTGTGTGTGAGTGTTAGGAATGTGTGTCTGAGTGTCTGAGTGTGTGTGTGGTAGTGTGTGAGTGTGTGTGAGTGTCTAAATGTGTGTGTTGGAGTGTGTTTGTGAGTGTCTGAGTGTGTGTGTGAGTGTGTGTGTGAGTGAGTGTGTGTGACTGTGTGTGAGTGTCTAAATGTGTGTGTTGGAGTGTGTGAGTGTCTGAGTGTGTGTGAGTGTGAGTGTCTGAGTGTGTGAGTGTGAGAGTGTGTGTGTGTGAGTGTGTGTGAGAGTGTGTGAGTGTGTGTGTGAGTGTGTGTATGAGTGTGTGTGTGAGAGTGTGTGTGTGTGAGAGTGTGTGTGAGTGTGTGTGTGAGAGTGTGTGAGTGTGTTTGAGAGTGTGTGAGAGTGTGAGTGTGTGTGGGAGTGTGAGTGTGTGTGGGAGTGTGTGTGTGTGTGTGTTAGGAATGAGTGCTATGTTGTGTGTAAATGTATTCGCCTGTTCCTAGCCACGTGTCATTACTTTACTGTAGTTGTGTGTGCACTGTAGTTGTGTGTGCTGTAGTTGTGTGTGTACTGTAGTTGTGTGTATACTGTAGTTGTGTGTGCACTGTAGTTGTGTGTGTACTGTAGTTGTGTGTGTACTGTAGTTGTGTGTGCACTATAGTTGTGTGTGTACTGTAGTTGTGTGTGCTGTAGTTGTGTGTGTACTGTAGTTGTGTGTATACTGTAGTTGTGTGTATACTGTAGTTGTGTGTGTACTGTAGTTGTGTGTGTACTGTAGTTGTGTGTGTACTGTAGTTGTGTGTGCACTATAGTTGTGTGTGTACTGTAGTTATGTGTGCACTGTAGTTGTGTGTGTACTGTAGTTGTGTGTGCACTGTAGTTGTGTGTGTACTGTAGTTGTGTGTGCACTGTAGTTGTGTGTGTACTGTAGTTGTGTGTGTACTGTAGTTGTGTGTGCACTGTAGTTGTGTGTGTGTACTGTAGTTGTGTGTGCACTGTAGTTGTGTGTGCACTGTAGTTGTGTGTGTACTGTAGTTGTGTGTATACTGTAGTTGTGTGTGTACTGTAGTGTGTTTATTGTGAGTGTATCCTCCACACAGAGACCCATAGACTCACCACACACACACAGAGACCCAAAGACTCACACATTGAGACCCATAGACTCACCACTCACACACAGACCCATAGACTCACCACACTCACACACAGAGACCCATAGACGCACACATTGAGACCCATAGACTCACCACACACACACAGAGACCCATAGACTCACCACTCACACAGACCCATAGACTCACCACACTCACACACAGACCCATAGACTCACCACACTCACACACAGAGACCCACAGACTCACCACACACTCACACACAGAGACCCATAGACTCACCACACACACACAGAGACCCACAGACTCACCACACACACACAGAGACCCATAGACTCACCACACACACACAGAGACCCATAGACTCACCACACTCACACACAGAGACCCATAGACTCACCACACACTCACACACAGAGACCCATAGACTCACCACACACACAGAGACCCACAGACTCACCACACACACACAGAGACCCATAGACTCACCACACACACAGATACCCATAGACTCACCACTCACACACACACAGACCCATAGACTCACCACACACACACAGGGACCCATAGACTCACCACACAGAGACCCATAGACTCACCACACAGAGACCCATAGACTCACCACACAGAGACCCATAGACTCACCACACACACACACAGATAGAGACCCATAGACCCTCGGGCGAGCCACCACCCTCTCGCTCCAACCAAGAAGGTTCCACATAATCCGCCAGCGGTGACCTGAACCCGATGGAATTCTGCTGGGGCCTGCCTCAGCGGGGTTATCTGTAAATGCCCTCTTTGGTTCGTAGGCAGACAAACAGCAGATCACGACGACGCTTTCCCGGTCGCAACGCTAGCGATCGACATCAGGCGGGAGGCTGCTTCGGCAGGCCGAGTTCTTCCCCCGCGTGGCGGCCGGTAAACGCCGCCGTGACCCTGTCGTCTTGTCCACCTACGTGGACTTTTACCGAAAAGAACCAGAGAGTACGGATTTCCCGCAGTCACCGAAGCTTCGAATCACAGATTCACCTGTAAAATGGATCGCCCCCACAACCCCCCCCCCCGTTGCGATCAAACTCTCACGCATGTCCCGGAGTCTTAACTCTCACCTCCGCCCCCCCCCCCCCCCCCTGTCTCTTGCAGGCGGGGCTCCCTGCTGCTCCAAAGGGTGACGAAGATTCACGCAGAGATAGAGGCAAAAGGGCCCCCCTCCCAGCAGCAGCAGCAGTGTAGCCTCAGCAGAACGTGGAGGGCAAGCGCTGATTATGGTTGTGCGGAGGGCGCATAGAGACCCATAGACTCACCGCACAGACGCCCATAGAGACCCATAGACTCACCACGCACACAGAGAGCCATAGACTCACCACGCACACAGAGACCCATAGACTCACCACGCACACAGAGAGCCATAGACTCACCACGCACACAGAGAGCCATAGACTCACCACTCACACAGAGAGCCATAGACTCACCGCACAGAGACCCGTAGACTCACCGCACAGAGAGCCATAGACTCACTGCACAGAGACCTATAGACTCACCACACACACAGAGACCCATAGACTCACCACACAGAGGCCCATAGACTCACCACACACACAGAGACCCATAGACTCACTGCACAGAGAGCCATAGACTCACCACACAGAGACACATAGACTCACCGCATAGAGAGCCACAGACTCACCGCACAGAGAGCCATAGACTCACCACACACACAGAGACCTATAGACTCACCACACACACAGAGTCCCATAGACTCACCGCACAGAGAGCCATAGACTCACCACACACACAGAGACCTATAGACTCACCACACACACAGAGTCCCATAGACTCACCGCACAGAGAGCCATAGACTCACCACACACACACAGACCCATAGACTCACCGCACAGAGAGCCACAGACTCACCACACAGAGACCCATAGACTCACCACACAGAGAGCCATAAACTCACCACACAGAGACCCATAGACTCACCACACAGAGACCCACAGACTCACCACACAGCGACCCATAGACTCACCACACAGAGAGCCATAAACTCACCACACAGAGACCCATGGACTCACCACACACACAGAGATCCATAGACTCACCACACAGAGAGCCATAGACTCACCGCACAGAGACCTACAGACTCACCGCACAGAGACCCATCGACTCACCACACACACACAGACCCACAGACTCACCGCACAGAGAGCCATAGACTCACCGCACTCACACACAGAGACCCATAGACTCACCGCACAGAGACCCACAGACTCACCACACAGAGAGCCATAGACTCACCACACACACACAGAGACCCATAGACTCACTGCACAGAGAAGCCATAGACTCACCGCACAGACAAGCCATAGACTCACCACACAGAGCCATAGACTCACCACACAGAGACCCATAGAATCACACAGAGACCCATCGACTCACCACACACACACAGACCCACAGACTCACCGCACAGAGAGCCATAGACTCACCGCACTCACACACAGAGACCCATAGACTCACCGCACAGAGACCCACAGACTCACCACACAGAGAGCCATAGACTCACCACACACACACAGAGACCCATAGACTCACTGCACAGAGAAGCCATAGACTCACCGCACAGACAAGCCATAGACTCACCACACAGAGCCATAGACTCACCACACAGAGACCCATAGAATCACACAGAGACCCATAGACTCACCACACACACACAGAGACCCACAGACTCACCACACAGAGCCATAGACTCACCACACACACACAGAGACCCATAGACTCACCACACACACACAGACCCATAGACTCACCACACACACACACAGACCCATAGACTCACCACACACACACACAGACCCATAGACTCGCCACACAGAGAGCCATAGAATCACCACACAGAGACCCATAGACTCGCCACACAGAGAGCCATAGAATCACCACACAGAGACCCATAGACTCGCCACACAGACAGCCATAGACTCACCACACAGAGACCCATAGACTTAATTCTAGATTGCAAGTATTCATACTCTTTGGTCTTATTCGGTAAAGTCACGTGACTTTACCGAATAAAACCAAAGAGTACCCATAGACTTATCAAACAGACCCGTAAACTCATCACGCAAAGACCCACAGACTCATCAGAGACCCATAGACTTACCACACACACACAGACCCATAGACTCATCATACAGAGAACCATCGACTCACCACTCACACACACACACAGACCCATAGACTTACCACACACACACAGACCCATAGACTCATCATACAGAGAGCCATAGACTCACCACTCACAGAGACCCATAGACTCATCATACAGAGAACCATAGACTCACCACTCACACACACACAGAGACCCATAGACTCACCACACAGACCCATAGACTTACCACACACACACAGACCCATAGACTCATCCAACAGAGAACCATCGACTCACCACTCACACACACAAGAGACCCATAGACTCACCACTCACAGAGACCCATTAAAAAAGAGACCCATAGACTCACCGCACAGAGACCCATAGACTCACCACTCACACAGAGACCCATAGACTCACCACTCGCACAGAGACCCATAGACTCACCACTCACACAGAGACCCACAGACTCACCACTCACACAGAGACCCATAGACTCATCACTCACACAGAGACCCACAGACTCACCACTGACACAGAGACCCACAGACTCACCACTCACACAGAGACCCATAGACTCACCGCACAGAGACCCATAAACTCACCACTCACACAGAGATCCATAGACTTACCACTCACACAGAGACCCATAGACTCACCACTCACACAGAGACCCATAGACTCACCACACAGAGACCCATAGACTCACCACTCACACAGAGACCCATAGACTCACCACTCGCACAGAGACCCATAGACTCACCACTCACACAGAGACCCACAGACTCACCACTCACACAGAGACCCATAGACTCATCACTCACACAGAAACCCACAGACTCACCACTGACACAGAGACCCACAGACTCACCACTCACACAGAGACCCATAGACTCACCGCACAGAGACCCATAAACTCACCACTCACACAGAGATCCATAGACTTACCACTCACACAGAGACCCATAGACTCACCACTCACACAGAGACCCATAGACTCACCACACAGAGACCCATAGACTCACCACTCACACAGAGACCCATAGACTCGCCACACAGAGACCTGAAGTGGATATAATACATAGTACTGTACACACACACCATCACCACCACTATCCTAGGTTTAAAAAATAACTAGACTCGATTGAACCCGATGCATTGAAGTATATATTCTGATATATACACACTAATATAGCACGTGTGTACAGAGGGGTGTGTGTACAATTTAAATAGTACAATATAAACACAGATTAACACACTTATTTCGGCACAATATATTCCTCCAGACTCAAAACTGATTCTGATACACTCAAATAGTACATGTGTACAATATACAGATAGAGGGGTGTGTGTACAATTTAAATAGTACAATATTAACACATCAAAACTGATTCTGATACACTCACTCATATAGTACATGTGTACAATATACAGATAGAGGGGTGTGTACAATTGAAATAGTACAATATTAACACATCAAAACTGATTCTGACACACTCACTCATATAGTACATGTGTACAATATACAGATAGAGGGGTGTGTGTACAATTTAAATAGTACAATATTAACACATCAAAACTGATTCTGATACACTCACTCATATAGTACATGTGTACAATATACAGATAGAGGGGTGTGTGTACAATTGAAATAGTACAATATTAACACATCAAAACTGATTCTGACACACTCACTCATATAGTACATGTGTACAATATAAATAGTACAATATTAACACATCAAAACTGATTCTGATACACTCATATAGTACATGTGTACAATAAACAGATAGGGGTGTGTGTACAATTTAAATAGTACAATATTAACACATCAAAACTGATTCTGATACACTCACATATAGTACATGTGTACAATATACAAATTGATCAAGTTGAATGTAAACAGGGCTATAAACACACACATAGCACTTATGCATCGAGATATATTCCTCCAGGCTAATACATATTCCGATTCTGATATATATACACATACACAGTACAAAAGCGTTCACTATACATACAGATGTAGGTGTGTGTGTACAAATTGTACACAATACAATATGAACAGTGATATTAACACACACACATACAGTAGCAGAATATATTCCTCCACTCTAAGATACATGTTCTGATTCTGATATATACACACACACACTCATATAGTGCGTGTGTGTACAGCAAAAGTGTGTTTAACTAATTGAAATAGTACAATATAACGCAATATACGAGCACAAACTTAAGGGTTTTTTTTACATGGCTGTCCAAGGTAGCACTGTGAAATATCGAGGCCACGTTGACGCAGAGTTACTGGAGAAGTTTATCGCGAAGGATATCGACGTGCACACCCTAGTCGATTGATGAAGTTAGGTGTATGTTTAGTGGGAGGGGAATGTTTATATTGTGATACGCACTTGACACAACACACACAGACAGACACTACACTACACACACAGACACTGCAATAGTGCAAAATTGCAGATGTGCGATTGCGATCTTTTTTTTTTGTTATTATTTAGCCCATCGTAACACTTGCGATGATCCAAATGTGTCTCTTGGTAACGCTCGCTTGTACTATTGGACGAAGAAGGTCGAAGTTTTGACGATAGCCGCTGATAAATTTTATGTTTATAATCGTAACGTTAAGCGAAGCGTAAGTGGCCTTGCATTGCGTGGGGCGCAACGTTTAACGGCTTGTTACTCGCAAACGCTTCAGTCGAACGATTGAACAACAAATGCAAAATAAGAATAATACAAATAAACATTAATAACGGCGATTTTTTAAAAAATATATATAGTTAATCTGTTATAGCGGCCCGACTATTCGGGCCTACAGATCCAAGGCACCCCGCCGCCCTCCCTGCCCGGGGTCGAGACGCCTCTACCCGGGCAGAGAATCATGCAACAGGGGGGGGCCCGCGGAGGCCCAGGCCCCGCCTCGGGCCCCCATGCTTGCCTGGCCGCCCCGCCCGACTACGCGCAGCCCATGGCCGCAAGCCCCATAGAGGTGAGGGGGGTGGGGGGTGGGACTCGCAAAACTTTTAAGAAACGGGAAATTTATTTTTATTTTCTTTAGTTGCTAATTAAAAGACTTACGTTTTAACATGGAATAGTTGTAAACAAATATGAAATAGTAAATTTTGTATCCTAGTTTATTTTTTTTGTATCTCAATGCTACTGCACTGTACACATTTGCTGCGTTCACATTGTTAGAGTACAGTGCGTGGTGTACAGTGTGTGGTGTACAGTGCGTAGTGTGGTGTACAGTGTGTGGTTTGTAGTGTATAGTGTGTTGTTTGTAGTGTGTGGTGTATAGTGTGTGGTTTGTAGTGTATAGTGTGTGGTGTATAGTGTGTGGTGTATAGTGTGTATAGTGTATAGTGTGTGGGGTGTATGGTGTGGTGTACAGTGTATAGTGTGTGGTGTGTAGTGTGTGGTGTGTAGTGTGTGGTGTGTAGTGTGTGGTGTGTAGTGTATAGTGTGTGGAATAGTTGTAATAGTTGTAAACAAATATGAAATAGTAAATTTTGTATCCTAGTTTATTTTTTTTGTATCTCAATGCTACTGCACTGTACACATTTGCTGCGTTCACATTGTTAGAGTACAGTGCGTGGTGTACAGTGTGTGGTGTACAGTGCGTAGTGTGGTGTACAGTGTGTGGTTTGTAGTGTATAGTGTGTTGTTTGTAGTGTGTGGTGTATAGTGTGTGGTTTGTAGTGTATAGTGTGTGGTGTATAGTGTGTGGTGTACAGTGTATAGTGTATAGTGTGTGGGGTGTATGGTGTGGTGTACAGTGTATAGTGTGTGGTGTGTAGTGTGTGGTGTATAGTGTGTGGTGTGTAGTGTGTGGTGTATAGTGTGTGGTGTGTAGTGTATAGTGTGTGGTGTATAGTGTGTGGTGTGTAGTGTATAGTGTGTAATGTGTGGTGTATAGTGTGTGGTTTGTAGTGTGTTTTGTAGTGTAGTATATAGTGTGTGGTGTATAGTGTGTGGTGTGTAGTGTGTGGTGTATTGTGTAGAGTGTATATAGTGTGGTGTAGAGTGTGTGGTGTATAGTGTGGTGTGTATGGTGTATAGTGTGTGGTGTGTAGTGTGTGGTGTATAGTGTAGAGTGTATAGTGTATGGTGTATGTGGTGTATGGTGTATAGTGTGTGTGGTGTATGGTGTATAGTGTGTGGTGTAGAGTGTGTAGTGTGTGGTGTATAGTGTAGAGTGTGTGGTGTGTAGTGTGTGGTGTATAGTGTAGAGTGTGTAGTGGATAGTGTGTAGTGTATAGTGTGTGGTGTGTATAGTGTGTGGTGTATAGTGTGTGGTGTATAGTGTAGAGTGTGTAGTGTATAGTGTGTGGTGTGTATAGTGTGTGGTGTATAGTGCGTGGTGTATAGTGGATAGTGTGTGGTGTATAGTGTAGAGTGTGTAGTGTATAGTGTGTGGTGTGTATAGTGTGTGGTGTATAGTGCGTGGTGTATAGTGGATAGTGTGTGGTGTATAGTGTAGAGTGTGTGGTGTATAGTGCGTGGTGTATAGTGGATAGTGTGTGGTGTATAGTGTAGAGTGTGTGGTGTATAGTGCGTGGTGTATAGTGGATAGTGTGTAGTGTGTAGTGGATAGTGCGTGGTGTGTAGTGTATAGTGTGTGGTGTGTGTAGTGGATAGTGTGTGGTGTGTGTAGTTTGTAGTATATAGTGTGTGGAGTGTATAGTGTGTGGTGTGTAGTGTGTATAGTGTATAGTGTGTGGGGTGTATGGTGTGTAGTGTGTGGTGTATAGTGTGCAGTGTATAGTGTGTGGTGTACAGTGTGTGATGTATAGTGTATAGTGTGTGATGTATAGTGTGGAGTCTACAGTGTACCGTCACCGCACTGCGCGGTTTCAGATGCGCTTCTGCGGCCGTCTGGAACGCTCCTCTGTCATTATTAGGAAGCCACAGGGAGCTATGCGCTTTTAAATCACTCTCTAGATTGACAAACCCACTTCTTTAGAACTGCCTCTCCTTGTTTCCATGTCTAGTTTGTCGTCCTTGAACCCTGCCCGCACTGCTGATTAGCACGGATGGCTTCCGCACTGGTGCAGAAGGAGTTCAACATACGTGCGATGTTGACTACCTCGCCTGGTCTACAGGAGGTCGTGGGTTCCATCCCGTGACCCTGACGATATCTGCTGCTGTATAATTTGGAGTCTGTGTCTCTCTCTCTCATCATCATCACGGTGGCTAGGGAGATGTTGACTACCTCGCCTGGTATACAGGAGATCGTGGGCTCGATCCCATGACCCTGACGATACCTGCTGCTGCTGTATATTTGAAGTCTGCGTCTCTCTCTCTCATCATCATCACGGTGGCTAGGGAGATGTTGACTACCTCGCCAGGGCTACAGGAGATCGTGGGCTCGATCCCGTGACCCTGACGATGCCTGCTGCTGTATATTTGAAGTCTGCGTCTCTCTTCCTCCGTGGTCGCCTGGATTTTGTTTTTCCCTCCCAACATTTCGAATCGACGCCACCGCGCGCGTTCAGAGTGCTGTAAATGTCCACGCGGCAAGCCACCTGGTCGAGCATCGTTCGTGATAGCCAGGTCCGTACACAGCTCGTTGGGCGTCATCTTGCAAGATACAAAAAAAATCGTTTAGTTTTACGATGCATCGCCATGCGTTCAGAGCATTTGGTTACTGTGAGTTTCCTCGCGACGGCGACGATGATGTCGGTCACTTGGGTTAGTTTTAGTTTGGGTCGTTGATGAGTGTGGGTCGCTATGGGGGTCTCTGTGGGTCTCTCTGATGCGTGTGTGTGTGTAAGTTGATGTGTGTGCGTGGGTCCATGTGTGTGTGTAAGTATGTATGGGGAGCGGTAGTGGAGCGGTTAGCGCTACGCTGCGCTATGAACCTGGCGACCCGGGTTCTATTCCTGCTCACGGCCAACACCGGTGACGATTGTCTGAACCGGTCCTGGGCCTCTCCTAGGTCGACTCAGCCTCAAATGAGTACCTGGTGCGGTGTGTAGTGAACATCGCCACTGGGGAGACAAAGGCGGCCGGGCGTGGTGCTGGCCACCCACCCCCTCGTGTGCCATGCCGGCCTTCATAGGTGCTCGCTAACAGCACTTGCCCCTACAGTCTGTTAAGGCTATATGGAGATTTTTGTCTTTGTATGTAAGTCCTTGTGTTTGTGTTTTAATCAATGTGTGTGTAAGTCCGTATGTGTGTGCGTGTATCGGTAGATGTGTCTGTGAGTCTATGTATGTGTGTGGGTCGATGTGTGTGTGTGTGTGTGTAAGTCGGTGTGTGTGTGTAAGTCGATGTCTGTGTGTGTGTTAGTCGATGTTTGTGTGTGTTTAAGCCGATGTTTGTGTGTGTTAGTCGATGTCTGTGTGTAAGTCGATGTCTGTGTGTGTAAGTCGATGTTTGTGTGTGTGTGTAAGTCGATGTTTGTGTGTGTGTGTAAGTCGATGTTTGTGTGTGTGTAAGTCGATGTTTGTGTGTGTATGTAAGTCGATGTTTGTGTGTGTAAGTCGATGTTTGTGTGTGTGTAAGTCGATGTTTGTGTGTGTGTAAGTCGATGTCTGTGTGTGTAAGTCGATGTTTGTGTGTGTGTAAGTCGATGTGTTTGTGTGTGTAAGTCGATGAATGTGTGTGTCTTTTTCGCCAGGGCAACGCCGGGTACTTCCTGCTAGTGATTCCATTTGAGTCTGTATCTCTGTGGGTCTCTCTAATCAGTTATGGGATTCTCTGGATCTCCATTTATCTCTGTGGGTCTCTAATCAGTTATGGGATTCTGTGATTCTCCATGTATCTCTGTGGGTCTCTAAATCAGTTATGGGATTCTGTGGATCTCCATGTATCTCTGTGGGTCTCTAATCAGTTATGGGTTTCTGTGGTTCTCCATGTGTCTCTGTGGGTCTCTAATCATTTATGGGATTCTGTGATTCTCCATGTATCTCTGTGGGTCTCTAATCAGTTATGGGATTCTGTGGTTCTCCAGGTATCTCTGTGGGTCTCTAATCAGTTATGGGATTCTGTGGTGCTCCATGTATCTCTGTGGGTCTCTAATCATAAGTCGATGTTTGTGTGTGTAAGTCGATGAATGTGTGTGTCTTTTTCGCCAGGGCAACGCCGGGTACTTCCCGCTAGTGATTCCATTTGAGTCTGTATCTCTGTGGGTCTCTCTAATCAGTTATGGGATTCTGTGGTTCTCCATGTATCTCTGTGGGTCTCTAATCAGTTATGGGATTCTGTGGTTCTCCATGTATCTCTGTGCGTCTCTAATCAGTTATGGGATTCTGTGGATCTCCATGTATCTCTGTGGGTCTCTAATCAGTTATGGAATTCTGTAGTTCTCCATGTATCTCTGTGGGTCTTTAATCATAAGTCGATGTTTGTGTGTGTAAGTCGATGAATGTGTGTGTCTTTTTCGCCAGGGCAACGCCGGGTACTTCCCGCTAGTGATTCCATTTGAGTCTGTATCTCTGTGGGTCTCTCTAATCAGTTATGGGATTCTGTGGATCACCATGTTTCTCTGTGGGTCTCTAATCAGTTATGGGATTCTGTGGTTCTCTATGTATCGCTGTGGGTCTCCAATCAGTTAAGGGATTCTGTAGTTCTCCATGTATCTCTGTTGGTCTCTAATCAGTTATGGTTTTCTGTGTATCTCCATGTATCTCTGTGGGTCTCTAATCATGTAGTCTGTAGTAGTGTATAGTGTAGTTTGTAGTAGTGTATAGTGTAGTTTATAGTGTAGTGTATAGTAGTGTAGTAGTGTATGGTGTAGTGTATAGTAGTGTAGTTTGTAGTAGTGTGAAGTGTAGTTTGTAGTAGTGTAGAGTGTAGTGTATAGTAGTGTAGAGTGTAGTGTATAGTAATGTAGTGTATTGTAGTGTATAGTGTAGTGTAGATGTGTATAGTGTAGTTTATAGTGTAGTGTATAGTAGTGTAGTTTGTAGTAGTGTATAGTGTAGTGTATAGTAGTGTAGTTTGTAGTAGTGTATAGTGTAGTGTATAGTAGTGTAGTTTGTAGTAGTGTATAGTGTAGTGTATAGTAGTGTCGTTTGTAGTAGTGTAGTGTGTAGTAGTGTATAGTGTAGTGTATAGTGTAGTAGTGTATAGTGGTGTGTAGTGTATAGTGTAGCAGTGTATAGTGTAGTTTGTAGTAGTGTATAGTAGTGTAGTGTATAGTGCAGTTTGTAGTAGTCTAGAGTGTAGTAGTGTATAGTGTAGTGTGTAGTGTATAGTGTAGTGTGAGTGTAGTAGTGTAGTTTGTAGTAGTGTATAGTGTAGTGTATAGCGTATAGTGTAGTGTATAATGTAGTGTATAGTAGTGTAGTGTAAAGTGTAGTGTATGGTGAAGTAGTGTACAGTGTAGTGTAGAATGTAGTGTGTAGTGTATAGTAGTGTAGTGTATAGTAGTGTATAGTGTAGTGTATAATGTAGTGTATAGTCTAGTGTATAGTAGTGTAGTGTATAGTGTAGTGCATAGTGTAGTAGTGTATAGTGTAGTGTAGAGTGTAGTGTATAGTGTAGTGTGTTAGTGTAGTATATAGTGTAGTGTATTAGTGTCGTAGTGTGTAATGTATAGTGTAGTAGTGTATAGTGTAGTGTATAGTAATGTAGTGTATAGTAGTGTATAGTGTAGTGTATAATGTAGTGTATAGTCTAGTGTATAGTAGTGTAGTGTATAGTGTAGTGCATAGTGTAGTAGTGTATAGTGTAGTGTAGTGTATAGTGTAGTAGTGTATAGTAGTGTATAGTGTAGTGTATTAGTGTAGTGTATAGTAGTGTATAGTGTAGTGTGTTAGTGTAGTGTATAGTGTAGTGTATAGTGTAGTGTATTTTGTGCGTATGCCAAACTTCTTTTGCACCACTGTACGTAGCCATCCGCGCTCATCGGAGGTGCGCGGGGGTCGGGGGAAGGACAGCCAGAATGAGTGACCCCCCCCACGTGACCCCCACGTGACCCCCACGTGACCCCCTCGTGTCGCCCCCCTCCCCCCCCCATTGTCCAGCTGGACACGAAGAAGAGCCCCCTGGCACTGCTGGCTCAGACCTGCTCGCTCATCGGCCGCTCCGAGGGCGCCCACAGGACATCGCGTCAAAGGCCACCGGCGACGGCAGCGGCGGCGACGCCGCCACTCTCCAGCGGTTGCAGCAGCAGCGGCAGCAGCAGCAGCAGCGACGGTCAGCTCACAACCACAACAACCTCCACCGCCACGACCGCCGCCAGCGCCGCCACGACCCACGGTATCGACGCCGGTGCCAGCGGCTTTTGCGGTGGAACGCTGGGCCTGGGTTTGCCCGCATCTCAGCATCAGCAGCATCATCAGCAGCAGCACCAGCAGCAGCACCACCATCATCATCAGCAGCAGGAGGAGGAGGAGGGTCAGCAGCATCAGCATCAGCAGCAGCATCAGCAGCAGCACCAGCATCAGCAGCAGCATCAGCAGGAGGAGGAGGAGGGTCAGCAGCACCAGCAGCATCATCAGCAGCATCAGCAGCATCAGCAGCAGCAGCAGCACCAGCATCATCTTCATCAGCAGCAGCAACATCAGCAGGCGATGGCGGCACCGGCTAAACCTCAGGTCAAGTCCGGGCCGAGATGTTTGGACGTGGGCACGGAGGAGCGATCGGTCGACCGCGGCGGCGGCGGCGCGGTGACGGCGACGGCGGTGGCGGTGCAGCAGGAGTCGGGTCACCGCATGCTTCCCGAGGGGGACAGCGGCGGCTCCTGCTCCTCCTCCTCCTCCGGCGGAGGAGGAGACGGAACGCCACCGCCGCCAGGGATGCCCACCGTGGGAATCAGGAGGGACGCGGCAGCACCCGGCCCGTTTGGTGGCGGCGGAGGCGGCGGAGGAGGCGGAGGAGGCGGAGGAGGTGGAGGCGGCGGAGGAGGTGGAGGAGGAGGTGGCGCACGGCCAACGGCCGATGCCACCGGAGTGTCCTGCGGCTCGGGGTGCGGGGGGAGCGGTTCCGGCGGCCGGGGGAGAGAGGAGAGAGCGGGAGTGGCGGGAGTGGCGGGAGGGGCGGGAGGGGCGGGAGGGGCGGGAGGGGCGGGAGTGGCGGCGTCCGTGTCCGTCTCGGCGTCCGTGTGCGTCTCTGCGCAGGCGGAGGTCAGCGCCGGCCGCAACAAGATCAGCGTCAGCTGCGCGGGCATCAACGTGGAAGTGAGCCAGGTACACACGCGCACACACGGACACACACACGGACACACACAGACACACACAAAGACACACGGACACACACACAACAACCGCCATTCGCCACTAAGTGGCGGTGACGTCACCACGACGCTTGTGCCAGGCTATGTGCACCCTGAGGCCACGTGAAGTGTCGAACGCCCGCTGGCAGGAGGTCACGGGGCAGACCCAAGTGCCACGGGTCGACTGACTGAGATGACTGGCTGATGCACCACCTGTGCCCCCTACTGTGCCAACCTGCTGTGCTTTAGCCACCCGGCGCTCCGCTCGTTGTTCTGAGCGTCGCTCCTCCGCCCTCCGTTGTTGTTGGAGGGCGACTGCCTCCAACTGCCCAGTAGCATCCTTCACGAGCCTCCTCCACAGAGGCCGATCTTGACACCGCTGGTACCAGTCATCGGCAAGTCCACTCAGCTCCACGTCCTCCTGTACCACATCACTCCATCTCTTCTCTAGCCCGTGCCGCGCCCGCTTAGCCCCCTCAATCCGGCCAAACAAAAGCTGTTTCGGCATGCGGTGGCTGGGCATGCGGGCTACATGACCCAGCCATCGCAGCCTTGCCTGCCGGAGGAGCTCACCGATGGGACCCTGCCCAGATCTTTCAAGGATTTGTGAGCTCCTCACACAATCCAGTCTGGTTAAACCCAGGATGGGTCGTAGGCAGGCCAGCCTAAATGTTTCTAACCGGCGAAGATGTTCCATTAAGGGGGTCCACGTTTCGCAAGCGTAGAGAAGGGAGGGAATGACCGTGGACGAGAAGACCTGAAGCTTAGTGCGGAGCGACAGACCAGGTAGCTTCCACACAGCGTTACGCAACCGATGAAAAGATATTGCCGCTCGACTGATTCGGAGTGAGAACTCTGCTGTTAAACTGGAGCCAGTCATAAGCACACTGCCCAGGTATGGGAAACTCTCCACTCTCTCCACAACTGCCCCATCACCGATTGGGAGTTGTGGGGGTGGAGTGTCCGATGGTACAAAATACCCAGGCAGGTGCTTAGTTTTGGTGGGTCTGATGGTAAGGCCCCACCTCTTAGTGGCACGCTCCAGTCTCAGCAGCAGCGTCTCCAACTCCTCCTCTGACTGAGCAGCTATTACCAAATCATCAGCACACATAACGTGGTTGAGCAATAGGGAGCCATCCCTTGACCGCACCCGGGCATCGATTAGCCTCCCATTATATCTGTACCATATGGAGATTCCCCCGGTACAGCTATTGAAGGCTTCACGAACTACGTGGTCAAAATAGATGTTAAATAATGTGGGAGCCAGAAGACATCCCTGTCGCACCCCAAGGTGTACAGGGAATGGCTCTGACTCCCGGCCACGTAGTTTTACCCGGGCCCGCTCACCATCATGAAGGTCCTTAATGATCGTGAGCAGAGGGTCAGGTACTCCAAAAGCACGAAGAACGACCCAGAGCCCAGGCCTACTGATGGTATCATAGGCCTTGACCAGGTCAATAAAGCAGAGATGTAGATCTTGTTGGAATTCCCTACACCTCTGCTGTAGCAGACGGACAGAAAATATGGCATCTGTGCAGGACCGCCCTTTCCTGAAACCGCATTGGGGCTCCGCAAGCCTCTCCTCAGTGTGCCTGGCAAGGCGATGCTGAATAATCCTTGCCAGGACCTTTCCCGGCACACTGAGGAGTGAGATGCTCCTGTAGTTGTTACAGTCTGTGCGGTCCCCCTTCTTAAAAAGGGGGACCACCATGGCATCCTTCCAATCCTGCGGAACCCGTCCAGTGGTCCAGACTGTTGTTATGATGTCATATAGGGCAGTCTGTGCACAAACGCCACCCTCCCTCAGCATTTCGCTTGGGAGATCATCTCTGCCCGCTGCCTTTCCTGGTCTCAGACTCCGGATCGCCTTCAATACTTCCTCAGCAGATGGCACCTCAGCCAGCCACTCACAGGGGGTGACTTCTTCCAATATTTTAGGCACCGCAGCCTCAGCAGGGTCATCCTCACTTTGTGCCACGATGTTTTCCTGGCTGAGGGATTTTCCCTCCCCCAGGACCTCACAGAAATGCTCAGCAAATCTGCAAACCTGTTCCTGGGGGTCGGAGATTGGATCACTGTTTTTTCCCCTAATGATGGTAATAGGTGTGGCGCTGCAGGTTACTTTTTTGATGGAGTTAAATAGAGATTTGTGATCACGGGCCACTGAGGCAGACTCCATCTCCTCAGCAACCCGCGACCACCACCCATCCTTGCAGCGCCTCACGGCTCTCCGAACCTCCGAGCGAAGGCTGCGGTAAGCCTCCTCATTCTCTGACGTGGGATTCTGTAGCCGATGACAGTGGGCCTGTCGCTTTTTCTCAACCATCCTGAACACCTCCTCTGTCAGCCAGGGTCTCTGGGGAGGTCTGGACCGCGTACTCATGCAGCCATTGCAGCTGCATGAGTCACAGTCCTAAACCTCGCCCATTTACCCTCGACATCAGGAGGAGTCGGGGACGATGCCAATCCCAGCCGCAAGCGATGATGAAATTCTCGCTTGCAACTTTCATCGGATAACTGAGACCAGGCCACTTTATGTTGGAATGGGGTCCTGGGTGTACACCCACCACCGGAGTGGAAGAATGGCAGGCGCATCTTACAGATGACTAGTCGATGGTCAGAGGGCAGATCAGCTCCACGGTAGGTCCTGGTGTCAAGGACATGGGCTCGCATTTGCTGGTCCGTCACTATGTAGTCCAGCAGATGTTCTTGCTTGGACCTGGCATGGATCCATGATGTTGTGTGGATGCGCCGATGCCGGAACAGCGTGTTGGTAATTACAAGCCCATGGGCTGCACAAAAATCTAGCAGCCTCCTACCGTTGTTATTGAGCTGATCTGGCCCATGCCCTCCAATCACTCCAGACCAGGTGCCAGTATCATGACCAACTCGGGCATTGAAGTCACCCAACATGATGACTCTATCCCGAGGGGCCACTTTAGCCAGCACCTGTGACAGGAGGTCATAGAAGGCATCTGACTCATCGGCTTTGCCTGCATCCCTCCACGGATGTTCATCTTCGGTGGTTGCATAAGTAACCACGACCACCATTCCTCGCCTCCGGTTGATGGGAAAGCGAGCCCAAAGTAGCCTGGGGCTTACAGCTTCCCACACCTCACCGCCACGCTCCCACGCCCCCTTCATTCTTTTGTTCAAAAGAAGACCCACACCCTGTTGTTTGGCAGTCTGCTGCCCCGAGTAGAGGACTGTCCACCCCTCATGGTGACAGGAGCCAGAGCCGGTCCACCGGACCTCCTGAATGCCGCATAGATCCAGGCGATACCGGTCCAGCTCCCGACAGAGGAGTGGCAGCCTCTCCTCTGCAGTGAGCGTTCGAACATTCCACGTGGCCACCCGTAGTGGCTTTTCGTTGTTTCTGGAGTAGCCCCGAGGGTAGGTATTCAATCTCCTGGCTCCGCCAATTGGGGTTTGGCCAGGAGACGTCATAGACGCCTGGCTCCTCGGGGCCTCCGGCACAAGCTTATTAGTTACATATTTCAGTTTAATTCGTGGTTTCGTGGTAATTAATTGAAGGTGGAGGGGTTACCAGCCCCTCGCACCCGTCCAGAGCCCCCGTTTAGCCCCTGTGGTGGACACATATGACATGAGGGGAGGAGCCAATCAAAATTGGATCTCCCCCCACAGCACTGTCCACGACAGAGTTGCCCGTCCGGCACCGCGAGGAGGTAGGGGGTTGTTTTGCCGGACACACACACACAGACACACGGACACACACACGGACACACACACGCACGCACACACACGGACGCACGCACGCGCACACACGCACACACACGGACACACGCACGCACACACAAAGACAAAGATCCCCCGTGTAGCCTGTAACAGACTTTTGGGGCAAGTGCTGTTAGCGAGGAGCACCTATGAAGGCCGGCACGGCACATGAGGGGCTGTGTGGCTACCAGCACCACGCCCAGCCGCCTTTGTCTCCCCAGTGCTAGCGATGTTCACTACACTACCACCACCGCTACACCACCACCACCGCTACCACCACCGCTACACCACCGCTACACCACCGCTACACCACCACCACTGCTACCACCACCGCTACACCACCACCACCGCTACACCACCACCACCGCTACACCACCACCACCGCTACACCACCATCACCGCTACACCACCACAGCTTAACCACCACCACCGCTACACCAACTACTCATTTGAGTCAGAGTCGACCTTAGGGGAGGCCCAGGACCGGTTCAGATAACCGTCGCCGGTGTTGGCCGTGAGCGGGTATCGAACCTGGGTTCGCCGGGTTCGCAGCGCTAGCAGCGACGCCACCTCAGCCTCCCCACGCGCTCACACAAAGCGCCTCTCCGCGTAGCCTCAACACAGACGGCAGGGGCCCCTTGCCGTCTCCTTAATCGCATTTCATCAACGACAACAAAACCACGTGCTGCACCGACGCTACGCCGCGGGTCGCGGTTTCAGTTTCAGTTTATTTATTTTGGTATAGCCCTGTGAGCCATTCATCTCTTGAATCGGGTGCAACCGCAACAAGCAAAAAAACAAAAACATGAACAAGAAAAACATCTTAAAGTGCCTTTGTGTGACTGTGCAAACAGAAAATCCATGCAAAAAACGGCAAAATATTCCTGAAAAAAAAAGCACCGTACACCAACGCTGTGTGCAAAAAAATCCCAGTGGGATGCAAGTCAAACAACAACAACAGCCACAAGAAACTTAGATTTAGGCCATCAGTCTCACTCCGTACTACAATAAAACAAACATGTCCAAACCAAAAAACGTTTTCGAAATCACCAAAAATAAGCCATAATTGCAACGGAACAGTTGATCACAGGGACTGTGACCGAATTTTTACAATAAACTACATAAATAACATGTAACACCAAATCCTAGAGCCATAGCTGGCTGCATGAGTGTCTCCACGGTAAAATCAGTCCGGCAACAATGAACAATGGCAGACGAGCGAGAGGGAGAAAGAAAGGAGGAATTGCTTGCCAGCAAATCGCAATGTGACTTTAAAAAAATATATTTTTGTTAATGAGAAAAATTAAGTGAAACGTGGATTATTGTCAAATAGCACGCTGCATCTATCAACGAAAGATTGCCCATTTAAATCCGCAATATTTAATTGCAGTGCAGATAACGGCCGAAAACACAACGGGATTATATCAGCGGGTAGCGGCAGTGCCCATGAACGCTGCCAAAGACCAAGATCCCCCGTGTAGCCTGTAACAGACTGTAGGGGCAAGCGCTGTTAGCGAGCAGCACCTGTGAATGCTACTGGCATGGCACATGGGGGGTGGGTGGCTACCACAACCACGCCCGGCCGCCGTTTGTCACTAAAACACTATACACTACACTATACACTACTACACTACACTATACACTGCTACACTATACTATACACTACACTATACACTACTACACTACACTATACACTACACTATACACTACACTATACACTACACTATACACTACACACTACACTATACACTACACTACTACACTATACACTACACTATACACTACTACACTACACTATACACTACACTATACACTACTACACTACACTATACACTGCTACACTATACTATACACTACACTATACACTACTACACTATACACTACACTATACACTACACACTACACTATACACTACACTATACACTACTACACTATACACTACTACACTACACTATACACTGCTACACTATACTATACACTACACTATACACTACTACACTACACTATACACTACTACACTACACTATACACTGCTACACTATACTATACACTATACACTACACTATACACTACTACACTACACTATACACTACACTATACACTACACACTACACTATACACTACACTATACACTACTACACTACACTATACACTACTACACTACACTATACACTGCTACACTATACTATACACTACACTATACACTACTACACTATACACTACTACACTATACACTACACTATACACTACACTATACTATACACTATACACTACTACACTATACACTACACTATACACTACTACACTATACACTACTATACTATACACTACTACACTATACACTACGCTATACACTACACACTACACTATACACTACACTATTATACACTACACTATACACTACACTACACACTATACACTACACGCTATACACTACTATACACTACACTATATACTACACACTACTACACTACACTATTATACACTACACTACTACACTACACACTAGTGCTGTACTAGTGACGAAGTGGCCACGTTCTGTTTACGTGACACAAACCTCTTACCAGTTGGGCCGTGCCGGGCGGCGGCGGCGGCGGCTTTTAACGACACAACATTGATACATTTACGCGGCGATCCACCCCAACAAAACCTCCACCGTGCGGCGTCCGCGAACGTCACAGGGTCCGCCGTTGCCGTTTGTTTGCAGGTGAATCGCCATTCGCCGCCGCCGCCGCCGCCGGCGGCCCACCAGCACGGCCACGTGGTGCCCGTCTCTCCCTACAAACCCGGCGACGCGCAGCCGTCAACGCTGTCCCACCACTCCCGCCCCACGTCATACTCCTCGCCGCACCCCTTCGCTCCCCCCGCCGCCGCCGCCGCCTGCGCTTCCCCTTCCAAGCACCACCAGCAGCAGCAGCAGCAGCTGCTACAGCTGCAGTACCAGCAGCAGCTGCAGCAGTACCAGCAGCAGCTGCAGTACCAGCAGCTGCTGCAGCAGCAGCAGCAGCAGTCTGCGTCGTGCGGCCACGAGCCCTACTACTTCTACAACGGCGGCGTCAGCGGAGGCAGCGTTGGCAACTACAACTACTTCTACGGAGGCGGCGCCGGCGGCAGCGCCGGCGGCTGCTGCTGCCTGGGGTTCCACGCTCCCGGCGGTTGCGTCCACGACGCCGCCACCCGCGCCGCCCTGATGGCCGCCGCCTCCCCGTCGTCGTCGTCGTCGTCCGCCGCCGCCGCCGCCGCCTCGCTGCCGCTGGCGCTGGCGCTGGCGCCCGAGTCGGCCCACGCCGCCTACTCCGGGGGGGCGCCGGCGCCCTCCTCCTCCTCCTCCTCTTCCCCCTACTACGCGGGCTGCTACCCGGCGTTGTCCCTCGCCGCCACGGCCGCCACGGCCTACCCCTACGGCCTCCTCCTACAAAACGCCGCGGCCTCCGCCGCCGCCTCCGCGTCCTCCGGCGACCGCGGCGACGCCGCCGCCGCCGCCGCCGCCTACTCCTCCGCGTGCCGCTGGCTGGCGTCGGGCGAGCGGCGACCGCCGGCCGCCGACGACCACCTCCTCCTCCTCCTGGCGGGCCCACAGCAGCCGCAGCCGCAGCCGCGAGGGCGAGCGGCCGCCGCTGCTGCGGCGGCGGCGGCGGCGGCTGCTTCGTCGCCTCCGCCGCCGGACGCCTACGCTGACAAGGCCTGCCACGTCTGGCCGGCCGCAGCGGCGGCGGCGGCGGCAGCAGCAGGGCGTCCGTCCGCGGGCCTCCACGACAAAGCGTCCCTCTGCTCGTCGCCCCCGGAGAAGTTCCAGCAGTCCCCTTACGCCAGCGCCGCCCACTACCACGCGATGCTGCAGCAGCAGCAGCAGCAGGTGCAGCAGCAGCAGCAGCAGCAGCTGTTGCTGGCGGGGCTCGCGAGCGGCCGGGGGGGTTCGCCGCTGCGGTCCGCGTCGGCGGCAGCGGCCGTGGGAGGAGGGGCCTACGTGGGAGGAGGGGCCTACGTGGGAGGAGGGGCCTACGTGGGAGGAGCCTATGTGGGAGGAGGGGCCTACGGGGGAGGAGGAGCCTACGGGGGAGGAGCTGCCTACGTCGGAGGAGGCGCCTACGGGGGAGGAGGGGCCTACGTGGGAGGAGGGGCCTACGGGGGAGGAGGGGCCTACGGGGGAGGAGGGGCCTACAGCCCGGTGGGGCTGGTGCCGGGGATGGGCCGCTACCACCCGTACGTGAAGGCGCACGCCCTGGGGGCGACTTCGGCGGCTACGGCGGCATCGGCGGCGACGCCCCCCGCCGTCTACGCCCTGGCCCCTCCCGCCGCGCCCCCCCCACCGCCGCCGCAGCCGCCGGGGGGAGGAGCCGGGGGCGGCGGAGGGGCGGCGACCGCAGGCTACTACAGCCCCTACGCACTGTACGGGGCGCGGCTGTCTCCCGGCAGCTACCCCTGAGTAGCGTCCCAGTGAGTGGGAGCGGTGGCGGCGGTGGTTGTTAGATGTGGAGGGGGGGGGGTTAAAGCTGCGGGGTCCACCACCCGTGCCACCACCCACACACAAACCACGGCTGCCCCCGATTTGGCGGCATAGTGGTGGCACGCCCTGCCGTCTGCCCGCCGGCGACTACAGCCCCTCCGCGCTGCTCGGGGCTCGGCCGTCTCTCCCGGAGGCTGCCCCTGAGTAGCGTCCCCAGTGAGTTGGAGGGGGTTAGAGGTGGGGTCAACGCTGTGGGGTTCACCCATCCCTCACACACACGCAGCCACGCCCCCACCCCCCACACACACAGCCACGCCCCCACCCCCCACACACGCAGCCACGCCCCCACCCCCCACACACACAGCCACGCCCACCCCCCACACGCACAGCCACGCCCACCCCCCACACACACAGCCACGCCCACCCCCCACACGCACAGCCACGCCCCCACCCCCCACACACACAGCCACGCCCACCCCCCACACAGCCACGCCCCCACCCCCCACACACACAGCCACGCCCCCACCCCCCCACACACACAGCCACGCCCACCCCCAGCAGTAGCAACGGGAGCAACGGCAGCAGCAGCGATGGCGCTCCCTGCCTGCGTCTGCGTGCTGGCTCCTCCCCCCGCCCCACCCCCCGCCCCACCCCGGTCCCCCACCCCCATGAGGGGGAGGAGCCAGGGGTGGTGGAGAGGCGGCACCTGTCGCTGTCTCTCCCGGAGGTTACCCCAGGAGTAAGGGGAGGGGTTAGAGGCGGGAGGAGGGGCCGACGCTGTGGGGTTCACCACCCATCCCACCCGCCCCACCCCGCCTCGCCACACGCACACACAGCCACGCCTACGCCCGGAGCGATCGTCTGCGTGACCTCCTCCTGCACCTAGCCTGGCATGGCAGTCGACCCGTGGCACCTGCTAGGGTCTGACCCGTGACCTCCTCCTCCTGCACCTAGCCTGGCACGGCAGTCGACCCGTGGCACCTGCTAGGGTCTGTCCCGTGACCTCCTGCACCTAGCCTGGCACAGCAGTCGACCCGTGGCACCTGCAGGGTCTGTCCCGTGACCTCCTCCTGCACCTAGCCTGGCACAGCAGTCAACCCATAGCACCTGCAGGGTCTGTCCCGTGACCTCCAGCACCTAGCCAGGCATGGCAGTCAACCCATAGCACTTGTAGGATCTGTCCCATGACCTCCTCCTGCACCTAGCCTGGCACAGCAGTCGACGCATAGCACCTGAAGGATCTGTCCCATGACCTCCTCCTGCACCTAGCCTGGCACAGCAGTCAACCCATAGCACCTGCAGGGTCTGTCCTGTGACCTCCAGCACCTAGCCAGGCATGGCAGTCAACCCATAGCACCTGTAGGATCTGTCCCATGACCTCCTCCTGCACCTAGCCTGGCACAGCAGTCAACCCGTGGCACGTGCAGAGTCTATCCCGTGATCACCTCATGCACCTAGCCTGGCACAGCAGTCAACCCGTGGCACGTGCTAGGGTCTATCCCGTGATCACCTGCACCTAGCCTGGCACAGCAGTCAACCCATGGCACTTGCAGGGTCTGTCACGTGACCTCCACCTGCACTTAGCCTGGCACCGTAACAGCGTTGCCGTTCAGCATCAACTCTGCTCACTTCATGTGTGTGTATGTATGTGTGTGTCTATGTGTCTGTGTGTGTGTCTATGTGTCTGTGTGTCTGTGTCTGTGTGTCTATGTGTGTGTCTATGTGTGTGTCTATGTGTGTGTCTGTGTGTGTGGGGAGCGGTAGTGTAGCGGTTAGCGCACTGCGCTATGAACCTGGCGACCCGGGTTCGATTCCTGCTCACGGCCAACACCAGTGACGATTATCTGAACCGGTCCCGGGCCTCCCCTAGGTCGACTCAGCCTCAAATGAGTACCTGGTGCGGTGTGTAAACATCGCCACTGGGGAGACAAAGGCGGCCGGGCGTGGTGCTGGCCACCCAGCCCCTCGTGTGCCGTTCGGGCCTTCATAGGTGCTCGCTAACAACACTTGCCCCTACAGTCTGTTAAGGCTACATGGGGGATCTTTGTGCCTATGTGTATGTGTCTGTCTATGGGTCTTCCTGTGAGTGGGTGTCTTTGTGTCTATGTGTCTGTGTGTCTATGTGTCTGTGTGTCTATGGGTCTGTGTGTGGGGGTCACTGTTGGTGCTTATGAGATTCTTTACCCATCATTTCACCTGCGGTTGAAGCGTCTCAAGACTGTGTTCTATAAAGACAAAGACCCCCCAGGTAGCCTCTAGCAGGGCTGTAGGGGCAAGTGCTGTTACACACACAAAGATCCCCCAGGTAGCCTCTAGCAAGGGCTGTAGGGGCAAGTGCTGTCACACACACAGACAAAGATCCCCCAGGTAGCCTCTAGCAGGGCTGTAGGGGCAAGTGCTGTTACACACACAGACAAAGATCCCCCAGGTAGCCTCTAGCAGGGCTGTAGGGGCAAGTGCTGTTACACACACTGACAAAGATCCCCCAGGTAGCCTCTAACAGGCTGTAGGGGCAAGTGCTATTACACACAAAGATCCCCCAGGTAGCCTCTAACAGGCTGTAGGGGCAAGTGCTGTTAGCGAGCATCACCTGTGAAGGCTACCGTCACTGTGGGCACACGCAGAGGGGGTGGGTAGCTACCAGCACCACCACTGCACCACCACTGCGCCAGGCACTCATTTGAGGCTGAGTCGACCTACGGGAGGCCCAGAACCGGTTCGGATAATCGCCACCGGCGTTGGCCGTGAGCGGGAATCGAACCTCCGGGTCTCCGGGTTTTGTAGCGCAGCGTAGCGCTAACCGCTCCACCACCGCTCCACTGGCTCGTCTCACACGCACGCACACGCACACACACGCACACACACTCGCACAACAACCGCCATTCGCCACTAAGTGGCGGTGACGTCACCACAATGCTTGTGCCAGGCCATGTGCACCTTGAGGCCACGTGAAGTGTCGAACGCCCGCTGGCAGGTGCCACGGGTCGACTGACTGAGATGACTGAGATGACTGGCTGGTGCACCACCTGTGCCCCCTACTGTGCCAACCTGCTGTGCTTTAGCCACCCGGCGCTCCGCTCGTTGTTGTGAGCGTCGCTCCTCCGCCCTCCGTTGTTGTTGGAGGGCGACTGCCTCCAACTGCCCAGTAGCAGTGTCCTTCACGAGCCTCCTCCACAGAGGCCGATCTTGACACCGCTGGTACCAGTCATAGGCAAGTCCACTCAGCTTCACGTCCTCCTGTACCACATCACTCCACCTCTTATCTAGCCCATGCCGCGCCTGTTTAGCCCCCTCAATCCGGCCGAACAAAAGCTGTTTCGGCATGCGGTGGCTGGGCATGCGGGCTACATGTTCCAGCCAACACAGCCTTGCCTGCCGGAGGAGCTCACCGATGGGACCTTGCCCAGATCTTTCAAGGATTTGTGAGCTCACACAATCCAGCCTGCTTAAACCCAGGATGGATCGTAGGCAGGCTAGCCTAAATGTTTCTAACCGGCGAAGATGTTCCATTAAGGGGGTCCACGTTTCGCAAGCGAAGAGAAGGGAGGGAATGACCATGGCCAAGAAGACCTGAAGCTTAGTGCGGAGCGACAGCCCAGGTAGCTTCCACACAGCGTTACGCAACCGATGAAAAAATATTGCCGCTTTACTGATTCGGAGTGAGACCTCTGCTGTTAAACTGGAGCCGGTCATAAGCACACTGCCCAGGTATGGGAAACTCTCTAGTCTCCACAACTGCCCCATCACCGATTGGGAGTTGTGGGGGTGGAGTGTCCGATGGTACAAAATACCCAGGCAGGTGCTTAGTTTTGGTGGGGCTGATGGTAAGGCCCCACCTCTTAGTGGCACGCTCCAGTCTCAGCAGCAGCGTCTCCAACTCCTCTGAATGAGCAGCTGTTCCCAAATCATCGGCATGCAGAACGTGGTTGAGCAATAGGGAGCCATCCCTTGACCGTACTCGTGCACACGCACACACTCCCACACACAGACTCACACACATACACTCTATATGTTTTTATTGACGGCTGGGATCGCTATAGGTGATGATTACTACTCAATGCTTATATATATACACATCGATATATATTTTTGTAAGCGGTCTGACTGCTGTCTTATTTGTTTTAAACGCGATGGTGATGGAGAGAGATGGCGATGGAGAGAGATGGTGGAGAGAGATGGTGGAGATGGAGATGGAGAGAGAGATGGTGATGGAGAGAGAGATGGGAATGGAGAGAGATGGTGATGGAGAGAGATGGTGGTGGAGAGAGAGATGGTGATGGAGAGATGATAGTGAGATGGTGATGGAGGGAGAGATGGGGATGGAGAGAGATGGTGGAGAGAGAGTTGGTAATGGAGAGAGAGAGATGGTAATGGAGAGAGAGATGGTGATGGAGAGAGAGAGATGGTGATGGAGAGAGAGATGGTGATGGAGAGATGATAGTGAGATGGTGGAGAGAGAGATATGGTGATGGAGAGAGACTGATGATGATGGTGATTCGAAGGAAAGTGACGCAAGCAAAGCCCCTCCCTGTCTGAGACTTGCTGACCGACCGGCAGTGCTGCCCCCTGCTGGTCGCTCGCTTTCTCTTCGACGGGATCTGCCTTAAGCGATTGAGACGATGCGACACCCGCGATGCGTTCAATAATAAAAAAATAATAACAACAACAAACTCACCGAATGCCTTCCGAGTCCGCGGGTTTTGTTTTTGCTACGCGCGGCATGAAAGAGGTTCAACGTGCGTACGATAGCGCGGTCGGCTATGTGTGTACATTCTAGATTTGAAGCTTTCGTGATTGCAAGGATTCATACTTTGTTTTTTTTCGGTCAAGTCACGTAGGTGAAATGAGAGAAAACAACTAAATCACGACGTTTCGGAGGCAACACAAGCTTCCGCCTTCAGGTGGAACAGTCACAGCAGTCACAGCAAGATCGCTGCATCAATGCAGCGATCTTGCTGTGACTGCCACCTGAAGACGGA